AATCTCCAAGAATGAAAAGAAAATCGAAACAGTCAAGAAACATCTCGACGAAGAGTTCACCATCAAGGATCTCGGCGAGATAAAATACTGCTTAGGGATCGAATTCGCCCGAAACGAAGGTACGTTGACTATGCATCAATCAAGCTATATTATGGAAATTTTAGATCGATTTGGAATGACAGACTGCAGGCCAGTTGGAACACTGATGGATTCGAACGTAAAACTCGTCAAACCGGACGAAACCGATCAGGGGGAGAAGAAGGTGCCCTACAGGGAACTCATCGGAGCTTTAATGTATCTCGCCGTCTCCACCAGACCCGACATCGCCTACACGGTCAGCTCATTGAGTCAATTCAATGATTCAACGGACCAACTCATTGGACTGCAGCAAAAAGAGTCCTCAGGTATCTTAAGGGAGCTGTGACCGCTCCCTAAAGGTACCATCAACCAAGGACTCGTTTTCAAACGCTCATCCGAACCGCTTCAGTGCTACGTCGACTCCGATTGGGGTGGACTTGGCTTGAGTTCCACTTCAGTACCACTACCTGATAACCTATAAGAAGACATTTTTAAAGTACTTTAACAATAGTTTTAAAGGTATATAAGATCAACAAACCGTCTCTCACGATATACGTGTAAAACAGCAAAAAAAAACATAATAGTTTGTAGAAAATTTCTGTTAAGTTTGGAAATTATATTGCAATCCCTCCTTGAACAATAGACCCCTAGGTCCTTTGTTGAAGGATTAAAATTTTAACCCGAGTTTTATTGCTTAAAAAATTTGTAATTTTAATAACTCAACTTTAAAAAATATATATTCAGATTCGTTAATATTTCCAGATTATGAATATCTAAAATTTATCATAAAATAATTACATTTAAAAAAGTTATAATTTATCTCGTATACCTTAAGTTTGATAAAAAAATGGACATCATTTTTGAATTTAGCTGACAAAGGAAATATCATATGCATAATAATGTATGAAAATAATATAAATCCATGAAAAACAAATATAATATTGAAATAAATAATATAAAGTTTTAGTTTAAACATATTGAAAAAGCTAGTCGCTTTTCACTTTTATGAGGGTATTAACGGTAACTCGACCCTTTTCGCAGGTAAATTTCCCAGTTCCATTTCAGTACCAAAATGCACCAAATTAGTACTGAGTTGGTACTGAGATCTCAGTTCCAATTTCCCAGTACCAATCCAGTACCACCCTTCCGGTAGGGAGAGAACAACAGCCCTATCATCCATGGAGGCAGAATACATAGGACTCACCGAGGGCGCTAAAGAAGTCCTGTATCTTCAACAATTACTGACGAACTTGGGATTTGCTGATCTCTCGAGTTCCACTATTTACAACGACAATATCAGTGCCCAAAAGCTTGCGGAAAATCATACTTTTCACCCAAGAAGCAAGCATATAGCTATTAGGCACCACTTCATTAGGGATGCAGTGAGGAACAAGCAGATCGTGATCAAATACATCCCCGCGGATGAAATGATCGCCGACATCCTGACGAAAGCGTTACCTGGCCCAAAGCACAAGAAATGCACCGAGATGTTGGGACTTGGCTCACCTGTGAAAAATTGTGAAAAATACACCCTTGCATCGAGGGGGAGTGTTGGAACTTAAAAAGTGTTTTACGATACACGGGTTCAAAACTAATGTCAATTATGTGCTGCCCTCTTTTTATGTGAATTATAACCTATTCCTTATTCCCATTGTTCAGTTCAGTTCGCAATATACATTGCTCACAGCACTTACTCGTGTAATAAAGTTGTCATTATTCTCTTAAATAAATAGTATTAAATCTTTTCATAGTTTCCTAATCAGTTTATCATAACCTGCGAATTACTCATTATAATAAACTTTCTCATTGGTAAGGGAGTGATAATTTAATCAGTTCAAATTAAAGTAAGTTAGTTTTAGTATAAGTTCTTAGTTTAATTATGGTTATGGGTATCGGATAGTTCACTAATAGATAAATAAATTTAACAAATAGATATTAAAGCAAATAAACAGATAATGAATCAATCCTATTTTTGTACAACAATTTGGTAAAAATCAGTCAATATAATTAATGTGACTGGTAAATCTATTCTTAAGGAAGAGGAGTATTTTATATGAAATCATAATAATAAGGAAGATGATACCTAGCCATTTATGATTAAAGAAACTTAAAGCTGTAGATTTAATTATTGTTCTGCGTCCTGGTTCAGGTTATTTGATTGAGTGATATAAGTTTCTATAAATTCTATAAACAATTCTATAAAAGAGTTGAATAATATATTTAAAATGTAAGAACTTAACGATAATAGTAAGGGAGACAAGCGACGTATTGGGACGTATTTTATTTCATAGCTGTGGTGATCTTTACAAAGTAAGAGCATAATTTATAAAATTGGGAGAACCATATAGAAATATATTAGTGTGGTAATTTGTTAATAGTACAGCTTAAAATCGTATGAAGGTGCTGAATGGACATAGGAACCAATCTAGCTGCCATTTACACTCAGAACCCTCATGGGAAAGAGAGACAGTTTACTATTAATCTGCAAAAAGTTATAATAAATAAATAAAGTTACAAGATATTTAAGTGAAAAGAATTGGCCTGATTATTTGAAGCCACATCCCTGTTACACAAATTATGTAGCAAAAAGAAGAAGAAGAAGAAGAAGAAGGTGTGGTTTTTAGTGGGTCGACTAGAACAACAATGGTCATTCCCACATAACCTCGGAGCACTGGGCTCCAGGTAACTGCCTTGGATACCAAAGATTTAACAGATTTTTCACTTCCCACGTTAAACAAAAAAAGTGACGTAAAACCATGTTTGATAAATAAATAAATGTATTATCGCGAGAAAAGAAAATAATCCATTTACTTTTTGAAAGTATTCCTAGCTTAGAAAATTGTCTATAAAATTTAAGAACATCGACAGAGAAATTTTTAACGTTAATATTGGTTCATAGTAGTTAATCATGTTCTTCAATAGTTCTATTAATAAATATTTATTTATTACAAATTTAAAATAAAAAATTGTCTAATCAAATAAAATTTTTATAAAATCATGTAAAAGAAAATTTCATGTGATTCCAATAGTTTGTTGAAAATGTAACAAATATTTATTTCCATATAATTTTAAAATTGTATATTTAAAGAACAAAATTTTTATTAAAGTAAACAGAAATAGTGTATTAAGGGGAGGTTCCCATTGCGGAAGTAAAAAATCGATTTTTTTATTGTATTATTTTTAAATATATATGTGTATAAAACGATTTATTGATCCAAAGAATATTTTTGTTTCTACAGCGTCTTAAACTCACCGACGACCCGAAACTGAGTACCGCTTAGGTCGTAAGTTGTTCGCTATATTGAATCCGCCAATTTGAGTTTTGAAAATCTGACATCATATTCATAATCAGCAACTCCAAAAACTCCCGAATAACAAATTTCAAGCAAATTGAATCGTTTTTTTTAAAGTAGACAAATATTACACTTAAAAATGTTCTTAAAACTTTAAACGCGTTTTTCTCGAAACAAAATTTTTCAAACTGGTGGGCATCGCACCCTGTTGAAAATTCCTATGTGAGAACACAAATGGGATCCCATCCAGGATCTCTTGTGAGTTCTTATGTGGGTTCCCGTACAGGTTCACACATAAGATCCTGTATGAAAAGGTTCCTGGGATGAACTTGCGTGAGATCAAGCGCACGATCTTATGTCTCTGTAAAAGCAATAACACAGGATCCCATGAGGTTTCCTGTGTAGGTTCCTATATGAACAACACGATAAATAGGAACACACATGGGATCTTATCCGAGATCTTGTATGAGTTCTTACATAGGTTCTCACATATAAGAAGATTAATAGCAGCTTAATAAGATTTTATAGAATGCTTTTATATATATGCTATTAATCTTCTTATATGTGAGAACCTATGTAAGAACTCATACAAGATCTCGGATAAGATCCCATGTGTGTTCCTATTTATCGTGTTGTTCATATAGGAACCTACACAGGAAACCTCATGGGATCCTGTGTTATTGCTTTTACAGAGACATAAGATCGTGCGCTTGATCTCAAGCAAGTTCATCCCAGGAACATTTTCATACAGGATCTTATGTGTGAACCTGTATGGGAACCCACATAAGAACTCACAAGAGATCCTGGATGGGATCCCATATGTGTTCTCACATAGGAATTTTCAACAGGGCATCGTAGCGCCTAAACTATTTGACCAATCAATACCGGGTTTGTGGTTAATTAAAGGTAACTAAATTCAGCTAGGGTTATACCTTTAATATTATACAATTGTTAACGATAAAGATTTTTTACAAGAGGTTAAACATGAAAAAATAAGGCAAAAAACGCAGTGTTTTAAAAAAGTGACCGCCATTTTGTCATTTAACAACTTTTTAACTATTTCATAGGTATAAACTATTACCTATTTAGGATGTCACCTTTCAAAAAGTTTTAAGTTTTTGTTTTAGACTCAAAATTGCGCAGTGTAGAATGCCCACTGTTTTTCTTATTTAAAAAAACATTGTTTACTAGGTGCACCATATTGATCGCTATTTTGAAATTTTTTGAAAATGAAAAAAATATATGTCTTAAAAGTTCAAGGATGTACCTGTATTTTAAAAAAAACTACCTCACTAAGTCATAACTGTTATCCGCAAAAAATTGTCAAAGTTTATGTTGATTTTTGACTCCGCAATTGGAACCTCCCTTTAATTCTTTTCATAAAAAAATGTTAAATGTTAGTCTGAGATTAAAATCTATTAGTTTTATTCAAAAGTATTCTGAAAATTACATTTTAACTAATTTACATAAAAATAGAAAAAAATTAACTGGTTTCTGTGGAAAAAAATCAAAATACTTCAGAATAATAGAGAATAAAACTAACTGAACGTATATCTGAAACTTTCAACAATCCGGGTTGTATTTAGAATAAACATCCTGTTTATAATTGAAAATTATTTTACATTCTGATAAAATCACTATTCTTATTGATTTATTAAGTTATTAAAAACTTTATATTAATAAATAAACAATACATAGTTTTTTCTCAGAGCAATAACAAATATAACAATTTCAATAAAGTAACTACGAATTTTCAGTAAAAGAATAAGGCGTTTCCTCAACTTGTGTAGTTCCAGAAGAGTCTATAATTTCAAATCCATCAGACAAAGACATTTCTTGCGTCGATGACATCTGATTATTATTGTCTTCATTATGCGTATCAGTATATCTTTCCTCTGATATGGATTCTTGTACCTCAAGTACTTGAGATTCCAACACTGAAATAAAAAAATATATGTATTTGATTTTGTGTTTTATAAAAACTATAATTCTTTTCTAGTACAATCAAAAGTGAATAAAAGTGAATAATATAATTTAGTGAATAAAATAATTCACCATCAAATTTTATTACAAGATAACATTGTAAAAATTATATTAAGTTTATCAAACATTAATGATAGAGTAAAATTAATTGCCTAGGGGAAGAATGTGACAACTCATATCAACAATGAAGACTGTACTTCGTGCAAACGGTGAAAACCGTGAATACTTGGTCGAACGGTGAAGAAAATGCCTTTTCAGTAATGCAAAAATTTAATTCTTTGTTTTATGTTGGTAATATTTTTAAAAATAATTTTTATGATAAAATGATTAATTTTTTATTATTTTTTTTAAATAAGAGGCAAAATTCCTGAAATGTCCGAACAAAAAATTAAAAGTTCTCGAATTTGATCCATACTTTTCTAAAATGTTGTTATTGTTGGTGAAAGTCTAAAAATCAATTATTATTGAATTTAATAAAATAGTTTTTGAATTACAACGTTTTTAATTTTTAACTTTTGAAAAAAAAAATTTTTTTCAATATACAATATTTATAAGTAGAATGCATAAAAGTTAACATATATATAATGATTTTTAAAGCTTTTTTGACGGGCTACACGCTGTTAATAAAAATTTTTTTTTTTAAATAACATTTGACCTTGAAATTCAAGGTCAAAATGTTAATTTACGTTTATCTCAAAATCGGATTTTTTAAAATTATTTTTAACTATCTCAATGGAAAGCTTGACTAATTTCCTACAAAACATGTAATTTTCAGAGTGGGATCTTTTAAAGTTTTTGAGATATTAATTAATTAATTAATTAATGTTTATAACAAATGAAATATCTTATAAACAAATAATGTTATCGTAAATCTAAACTAACCAATTGAAAGTTAAGGTAATTCCGCATCCAACGAGCCCTATATGAAGTATTTTAAATAAGTAGATTGTTAATAAACAATTAGTTAACATTGCAATTGTTTATTAACAATCTACTCATCCAAAATACTTCATATAGGGCTCGTTGGATGCGGAATTAGCTTAACTTTCAACTGGTAAGTTCAGAATTACCATAACTTTATTTGTTTGTAAGATATTTCATTTTTTATTGTTATTTAACTAAAATTGAACAAAAATACTGCATATAGGGCTTTTGGATGCTTGTTGTTAGTAAAAAATAAAATATTTTACAAACAAATAAAGTTATGGTAATTCTGAACTTACCAATTGAAAGTTAAGGTAATTCCGCATCCAACGAGCCCTATATGAAGTATTTTGGATAACTAGATTGTTAATAAACAATTGCAATGTTAACTAATTCTTTATTAACAATCTACTTATCCAAAATACTTCATATATGGCTCGTTGGATGCGGAATTACATTAACTTTCAATTCCTAACTTCAGAATTACGGTAACTTTATTCGTTTGTAAAATATTTCATTTGTTATAAACATTAATTAATTAATTAATTAATATCTCAAAAACTTTAAAAGATCCCACTCTGAAAATTACATGTTTTGTAGGAAATTAGTCAAGCTTTCCATTGAGATAGTTAAAAATAATTTTAAAAAATCCGATTTTGAGATAAACGTAAATTAACATTTTGACCTTGAATTTCAAGGTCAAATGTTATTTAAAAAAAAAAAATTTTATTAACAGCGTGTAGCCCATCAAAAAAGCTTTAAAAATCATTATATATATGTTAACTTTTATGCATTCTACTTATAAATATTGTACATTGAAAAAAAAATTTTTTTTCAAAAGTCAAAAATTAAAAACGTTGTAATTCAAAAACAATTTTATTAAATTCAATAATAATTGATTTTTAGACTTTCACCAACAATAACAACATTTTAGAAAAGTATGGATTAAATTCGAGAACTTTTAATTTTTTGTTCGGACATTTCAGGAATTTTGCCTCATAATTAAAAATTTTCAGTAAAATATGACCGAATTTGTTAAAATTATTTTACTAACATTTTTTATTGTCTTTTTTGAATTATAAAAATAAAGAAGACAATAAAAAATGTTAGTAAAATAATTTTAACGAATCCAATGACCAACTTCTCGTCATTGTCATGAAGAATAAAATTTTTGCATTTCTGAAAAGGCACTTTCTTCACCGTTCACCCGAACAGTTGATAGTCTTCATCGTTGATCTGAGATGGCACACTCTTCCCATAGGCGAGAAAAAAAACATAAATAAATTTAAAATTGTTGATGTATATCATACCTTCATTGGAACTACTTTCTATACTTGTTGAAGGTGGAGTACTTCCTGTTTCTGCAGTATGAATGTCTTCAAAATTGTTAGAATCAGAATCTAGTAATGAAAGCTCAGTTATATAATTTTGTTGTGTTTGTTCAACACTTGCTGAAGTTCTATCAAGGTTAACTGTTGATATAGTTGGCGATATTCTCGAAGAGCGTGAATTATTATTGGATGTTGGAGGCTGTGTTGGTTGTGCATGATTTCCGTAAAATAAATGTTGCAATTGAGCTTGCTCCAAAATAACAGGTAATTCGTAATGATGGAAGAAATACAACATTGAATGCTGAAAAATTGAGTATTTCTTAATTAACAATTGTAGTCAAATTTGAGAATATTAAAATGCTCATTTATCGACCTTCTTGAACCAATTATTAATAATAATAATAATCCTCTCAATTCCCGATTGGAATAAATAAAAGACGTCTTGAAACAAAATCAAGCATAAAAAGTAAATGTTATCTCAATAAAGAATTGATTTTCAATAAAAAAAAGCTAATTTCAAAGTTATTATTAGCAAATAACATAAGTAAATAATAAGAAACATAACGAACTTCTATTTAGTTAAGATTATTTAATATTTAAATTCAAATTAATTGCTCCTTCAATTTCCCTCGATCAAAAGTCCAATTTAAGACAATTATTTTATAAAACCTTAAAATTAAGTGAAGTCACATTTAGAACGATTTTGATTTCTTGGTCCAATTTTTGAGAATTATAGACGATTTCAAAATATAAAAAAATTTCTTAATTTATCATTATCAGTATGACTTATGTTTAATTTCAAAGAAACTTACTTGTATAAACAACCATGAAGTAACTAAGGCCAAACTACTATACTGACCATTGAACCTGTAATGGTACGCGTAGAATGAAAAGTGATATAAGTAAAAAAATCTGAAACAGAAAGAAATGTTTTTGTTAAATTCACAAAGTTCAAAAATATAAGAGAATTATTAAAATCAGTATGATTAAGTTTTTTAAAATAAATAAATTACCGTAGCCAATGCCTTTTAGTAATAGGAGTGTGGCAACAAATAGCATCATACTGATCGCAGACCCAAACAATAACAATGATGTAAAAAGCTGTAGTAGTGTCATTAAAAAATTCTGACATTATTGCCTCCATTCCTAAAATCAAATATCAAAATGATGTTTTTTTTAATGAATATTGAAATATCTTATGTGTTTAATAAAACTATTACTTTTTTATATTTAGAAAAATGGTTACCAGATGAATGCGATAATTTATTAACATTTATGCAAAATAAGATAGGAGACTTTAAAAATTCAGATAATTACAGGCCAATCACATCAGTTAATTGTATAACTATCTTTTACAATCTACAAGTATTTGAAGTCTTTTTTTTATTACTTTAAAGGATTGGAAGCAAGATTTATGTGTTCTTTTTGAGATGATATTTAAATTAAGTTTTTATAATTGATTGAATATTGATTTCAAAATTAATTGTTATGTAGTTTTTTGATTTCCAATAAATTTTCTTTGTAATGTTTTATTTCAAATAATTAATAAGAGCATGTGACGAAAGATTGAAAATTATCGTATAATTATTTTGTAAATTTATCGAAAGTCGAAAAATACGTTACCGACAAATCAAAAATATAGTAGTACTCATTAACGACACGCGCGCTGCAGTAGCGATCCCCATCGAAAATCCGCGCATGCGTTCCACGGAACCGATCGTCTTTAAGAGTCGCGCACACACCGAGAATCGTCACTCCTCGAAGCGGTCTTACAGCAGCAGGACACACTCCGAAGTGGTCTTTCAACGACTTAGGAGGTCTTACCTCAAAGTAGTTTTACTGATACTTAATTTTTATTTTAACTTTTCTTATTTCACAAAGTGTAACTCTTTTTGTAATCACATAAATATGTGTTGTAAATAGAAATAAATTGCAAGATATTTAAACAAATAAAAATTGCTGCTAAATAATTTTATACGAAAAAATTGACTAGTGATACTTGCCAACAAGAGCTAGAATGACGGTGAGAAGTGATGCAGCTGGAAAAGATACTGTTACGTTGAATTCCAGCATCTGCAGGAGGTCTACTGTAAAGTTTTAAAAAATAACAGTTATCAAGATACAAAAGATAAATGTTTAATGAATTATATTATTTTGCAATCATAGAATATAAAATGATTTGTAATTTTTAAATACTTACCAATAAAAATGAAAATTTGATGATGGGAGTACCTTAGAAGCATTGAAACAGACACCGTCTGTAAAAAGATAATATTATTATGCTTGTTTACTTTTTAATATATACAAATAATAGTAATAAATAAAAATTTATAAACTTACAAATACTATCATGATGAAAAATGCTGCCAAGTAAGAAGTTCTAGCCATCCACATACTTACAAACCGATAATGTTCTCCAGTTACAACATTTCTAACAATAAAATAAACAAAATTAGTCAGAGTGTCTACTTTACTGTTCGAGCGAATTAATTTATAACTAAAAAATTTTGAAACTATATTGAGAACATTAAAAATATTTTTCATAGATATTCAAAAGTAAGGACAAAAAAAATTGCCTGACTTTCAGAAAAATTCCGTGACATTTCCCAGTTATCCAGGACATATTTAATTTCCCAGATATTTCACAAGTTTTCCAGGTGATATATATATATATTTCACTCTGTTAGTATTTCTTATATGAAAATTTTGCTTTTTAGGCCTTTCAACGACTTGTAAAATACTTTTATAAAATTTGTAATGATAGTTAGAAATCGGACGGTAAATATTTATACTAAATATTATCGTAAGTCGATAAACATGTTACCGAACGCAGAGCACAGCAACGTAGTACCCGATTTCGCCATTGCTAAACCTCTCTCGCGTTCGCTAAGCCGTTCGTTTATATAAGCTGCGCTCCTGCTAAGGACCGTCACTCTCATGTTACACGGAGTCCAGGAGGGTTTTACCCACTTGATTAGGGGTTTTACTCTGAGGAGCCATACTCCAGGAGTTTTACTCCGAACAAGTATCGTAAAGAGTTTTACTGTCGTTCGTCGGGTTTTACCCGTTAAACATTATATCGGTTTTTGTAATATAGTGTAAAATAACGTAAAGTAACGTAACAAAAATGTATAGTAACGAAATATAAATGTATAGTAATGAATTGTAAAGTAAAATAACGTAATGTAGAGTGACGAAATATGTAAAATAACGCATCGTAATGTAAAGTAACGTAAAAAATGTATAGTAACGTAATATTATATTCATTAAGTTTAAAGTAGATTTTCCGTTTTCTTACCAGTTTTATCTCCGTTTTTTTACTCTTTGTATAATTAGAACACGAGTTAAACTCGTGGTTCACTAGTTTATCGCGGATTTTTAGGCAGTACAGTAATAGTTTCCACGGCTCATCACAGCGAGTTGAAGCCGATATCGTTAATGCGCGGCTTAAATAAGCGACGTTACTAGATTGATGCTGATTTTCAATTCCGCGGCTCAACATATTTTGGATAGACGCCAACAAATCATTACTTGAAACCGACTTCTGCGACTCACTGTTAATCTCCGTATAATTTTGATATTGTATATATTCCGTTGTAAAAAAATAATTTGTTATCAGTTTGTAATTAACCCTATTATTATCATTTTTTGTATTCATGAATCAAACGAACCCTGGCTCGGCGAGCTAAATATTGATTATTTTAATTACAAACGTTACAAATTTGATATTTATTTCTTTTTTGTGTAAGTACTGATCTTACCGCAAAAAGCCTTTGTTATCTTCTTGTTCAGCTAAAGTTTTCACACTAGCCATTAATAAATCATCATAGCCTAAAAATTCGTCAAGAATGAATCGTGAAAATGTATCACCAAAACATTTATCGTTTAATGGATCTAATGTAACTATTTTCACTGGAATGTTCAGTCTTTGTCGAGCTGCAGGTGACAATCGCAAAAATCCATATTCTAAAGAATATTCTACAATATATTCATCATCTGAAAATAATAATAAAAATTATTATTAGTAAAGAAGTAAACAGTACAAACAAACAGTACAGTACACAATTTTTCAATTTTAATTTGTGTTTTTCTGACTTTTAGTAAGGATCAGACTTGTAATCTCTAATTTGTAAAATGGATCAAGTTTCGTTTCATAATGTTAAAAAAGTCTTAAAGTCTTATATAATTTCTTATTTTTATTTAATTAAATTTACGTGATACATCGATTCTAAGAAGCAAATGAGTTGGAACATGTGGCTGATAAACTATAAACATAAATGTTTAGGGAAGTATCACACACATTCTATTATCTCTAATACAAAAGAAACAAAAGTATTGTCAAAATTTAAAGGGACATTATTATTATATTATTAATTTTTATTATTCAATATAATAAAACGCGTGCGAACTATATCATCAGATAAGGTTGTAAACATGTAGTAGAAAGTGAATGAAAATATGTTAGTATTTATCTTTTTTTTGACTTTCCAATTTCTATACTAGACTTATATATATTTATATTCTTCTCTTTTATTATAAATTATGTGTCGCTTTTTAAACTGAATTAGAGGAATCTTTACAATAATTATTCAATTTTTCAGCTTTTGTTATTAACTTTTCCAGAATTCTTTTACTTGTTTAAACAATTGATTGTTTATCGTTTCAAAGAATTTGATGCTAGAGAAAATAATAATAATAAATAAAAGAATTATTTATTTTTATTTAAATAATCAAAATAAACAATTAATCTGACGATATAGCTTTCTTTGTTTTAAAAACGATTGTGAGTCTATCCTTAATTATTTCTCTCAGTTCTGAATAGAATAAAATTTACTTTTAGATTAACTTAATATTTATAAATAAATACAAATAAATACAAAGACACCTTTACTTTGTGATTATATCACTTCTGTGGTTGAAAAGCATAACAGCACAACTGCATTTGTCACGATTTTGAGAAAAATGAGTTTTAATATTCATTTAGCTCTGTCAAATCAGAAAATCAACGGATGTGTTTGGTATTCGGCATTTAATCTCATTATTTAATGTATTTTTAAAATACGTTTATCACATTTAATAAAACGCACGAATTCATATGAAATTTAATATATTCTTAGTCAAATTGAAAGTTTTTTTGCAGTTATGTGTTTATGCTGTTCAAGTTTAAATATGTAACCAACTTCACTCTATTTTTCATGTCATAATAAATTGTCAAAATAGATTTAATAGCGACGTACGAATCTGAGTCTGAAACTAATATATCTGAAGGAGATGATTATAATCAAGGCAAAAGAATAAAATTATTATTTATGTTTATTGTATCTATGAAAAAAATGAAACGAATATTTTTTAAAAATAGGTTAGGTTTTATGTTTACATTTCCGTAATTTCTCAAATTTAATATTTTTTGTGAAGATATCGAGAAGAATGAAGATACCTGTGATTCAAAAGAATTAATGAAAAGAGAAAATCGAAAAATTAGTCAAACTAATAAAAAAATTTATTTTTTCTGAAATTACTTATTATAAGATAAAAATAAATAATAAATAAATAAATAATATTTTTATTTTAAAATATTACTTTAATTTTGTAGATTACGTCAATTGTTTTTTTATTCTGAATGCAGTTATGCGCTTATGCCTATCGCCTATTGCCAAAAGTGCAGTTATGCGATTAGGTTTTTCATCATTTTCTACTTAAATAGTTACATAAATGATTTTTCAACTATGAATCTTTGGAAAGCATTACTAAATGTACTAGAATCTGGTGTTATCTCAAATTTGATAAAAATGTCAGTTATGCTGTTATGCCTTTCAACCACAGACTTGTAAATTGAATTGAAATATTAGTTTGTGTGGTTTTGAAAATCTACAAAAAAATATGAAATAAATTATTTTAACCATATTATAAAACTTTACCTAACAAAACTTTTAAGGGTTAGGGGCCATTCATTAATTACGTAAAGACGATTTTGGCTAATTTTGACCCCCCCTACCCCCATGTAAGGATACATAAGATTTTTCGGACCCCCCCTCCCCCTTCTTACGTAAGTTTTTAACAATATTAATGTAATTAAAAAATTAATTACATCAATACAAATGGAAAATACTTGGCAAAATCTTACGTAAGATTAGCTTCTACCCCCCACCCCCCCACGTAAGACCATGTAGAGATTTTATAAACCCCCCCTCCCCCTAAGGACCCTTACGTAATTAATGAATGGCCCCTTAGTTTCTCCTAACTCTATTCTATCTTTATTATTCTTGACATAAAAAAATTAAACTTCAACGAACAATCATAGTTTAACAATATATTGTTAAACTATAAAATTTACATTCCATTTCAATATATTTAAGCCTTTGAAATATAATTTATACATTAAACAAAATAAAATTTAATAATAAAATAAATGTCATATATATAACGCCTCGCTGCTGAAATTTTGCATTGCGCCCACTCTAGGGTCCACAATTCTTATCAAAAACAAAAATAAAAAATTTCTTCTTCGATCGTACATTATTATACCTTCTATATGAATTAAAAGATTTCGATAGAAAGTAAAAATTAAAAATTTTACATGACTGTAAAAAAAAATTTTATTTTCGCCAAAAAAAACTTACTTTTTCTTAAACCAAAGTGTTAAATTCGACTTTAAAAAAAATTTTATGCATATAGAAGGTACTAATGTACGAATGAAGAAAAAAGTTTGTTTTTTTTGTTTTTGATAAGAATTGTGGACTCCAGATTGGGCGCAATGGGAAAATTTCAGCAGAGAGTATATGACGTTTATTTTATTATTAAATTTTTTTTATTCAATAAAATAAACATATATATTTCGAAGTTTTAAATATGTAAGAAAACATCCACAAAAACTCGTATCACTTTATTTCAATGCGTTTGAGAAAAAAATTCCTGAAATTTACACATTAATTGACTGTCTATAATGTAGGCAAGAATTACGATTTAATCTTTGATATCACTCTTGGACAATCAATAGTGTTGGTAGAAATCGTTAGAAAGCCCCTGACCATTGATTTTCCGTGGCTTGACTTTGAAGATTTGTTTGTTGGTATTTAATTAGTTTGTTGAATAATAATTTATTTATTTGAATATTTGGAAAGTCAATCGTGTTGGTAGAAATCTTTCGAAGGCCCCTGACAATATTCCTCTTCAACAATTTTTATCGCTAATTTGAGAAGAACCAATCGTATTGGTAGAAATCGTTAGAGATTCTAACAATTGGTTTCTCAAAATAACAGAAGATGCAAATCGTATTGGTAGAGATCGTTAGAAAGCCCCTAACAATTTGCACTTCTTAAGTTTGAAAGACTTGACTTTGTAGATTTTATTATTCTGAAAATTTCCTTATTTTTAAAAAAAATATAAAAGAAAGCTCTTACCAGTTTAAAACTGTTCAGATCAAAGGGACAGAAACATGCATTTACTTGGCTTATATAGTCGCGTCCCTACCCTTAATTTTCTGGGGTAAGTAAAATTCAAAATGTGCGAGTGTGTGAGTAAGGAATTTTAAATTGATTGAGCGAAAATCCGCGAGTTTCCTTCACCACTTTACGCAGGGCGCTTCTTCCATGTATTTCTTACCGCCAATTTCTCCCTCTATTTGGATTTTTCGCGGCGTCTATTTTTGGATAGCCAATTACATTTAAATTATTTTCTAAGGACAGAGATATTTTTCTCTCTCTAATTTCGTTTCTAACGCTCGCCGAGAACAATGCCATTGTCTACCTGTCAATCATTTTCCTTTAACTGATTTTTATTTTCTAAAATCATTAACTTCTCAAAAAAATAATAATTTTAAAATTGACCCGCTGGATTCTAGAAGGGCACGTAAATTTTTTCGGCCGGAAAACGAAGTCCCCTGGACACTCAAAATTCATTTTTCGAATTTTAATATTTTTCGAGCATATTCTTATACAGAATTCGATTGCGCATCTTTTTTTCTTAATAAGAAATTTTCCATCTTTTTCCGTTAACATTTCTGAAGAATTTACCAATATCAATGTTGAATTATTCAAGTATAAGGGTTTTTGGTGCCGCCAATTACGAAACCGAGGTCAATTTTTAAAAATAGAAAATGGCGGATCCAATATGGCGACCGTAAAAATTAAAAGTTATGCTAAGCTCCTGAAAATTACTACTCGGGTGTTTTTAGGGTCGCTGATTACGAATCCTTGGTTAGTTTTTAAAAAATACAAAATGGTTGACCCAATACAGCGGTCGAAAAAATTAAAAGTTGAACTAAGCTCATAAAAGTGACTACTCGGAAGTTTCTAGGATCGTAAGTTACTGATCTACTGTCAGTTTTAAATATTTTAAATATATTTTTTAAAATGAAAAGAGCCTACCTGCTTTCACGATTTTCTCTACTTCAGGTACAGAACTTTTCAATTGGTATACTGAGTTTTCAGAAATTATATTTCTTGTATCTTCGTTCGACATATTATCCAGAGGAATATTTGAACGTATTTCATTTTGCATCGGCTGTAAATAATCAATTTTTAAATTAGAAAAAATTCTTACGTGTCCTTATAATAGGCATTCTATTAAGGAGGTTCATCCCAAAATCGATTTTCTACAGATTTTTTAAAAATTTTTAAGATGTATTATTGACATCACTTAACATGTGTTGTTCAAATTGTATTGAATTTTACCGTATCATTTTCAAGATAAAAATTGATAAAGTTTGAAGTTTTACATGGGAACAGTGAAAAAACATGAAAAATGACCATGTTTTCATTAATTAAAAAAAAAACGGTTCTACAGATTTTTTTCAAAAACTAATATGTTTTAAATTATGAGTTTTAACAGTTTTTACAAAAATATGAAATTTTTTTACCGTTTGGTTGTGAAGTAAATCTTAATCAAAGTTAGCAACTTTTGAACTTATCCCATGTAAATAAAAGAAAGAAGAGGAGAAAGGGCAAATTAACCTCTAAATTGGCCAGTGGAGCTCAACTTTTATGGACTATAGCTGTCGGTTTTAAACTTACGGAAAACCCCTAATAGAATGAGTACCGCTTGAAGGGATGAACCTCCTTAATTATAATTGAATAATAATTGACACTAATTTTTTGCGTACCTTACTATTTTCCATGTTTAATTCTGATAAAAGTTTTGTAGACGATATCGCGTTAAGCGTGTTACTTGTTAAATTGTAATTAATTATTTCACTCTGACTCATAATCTTAGTACTTTGAATTCCTACTACTCTATTATCAATCACATTTAAATGTCGAGAATTTCTTTTACTAACAACTTTTAGACTTTCACGTTCCTCATCTGCTGCTGATGGTTCAATATTTATAAAACTGTAAAATTATAAGTAGTTATAAATTTCTAAAAGATTGTACGGAAATAAAAGTATACGATCAAAGTATAAGATACAGCTCAAAGGCAGAGAATAAACGAAAAAAATAAATAATTAAAGTTTTGCTGAACATTTTTCTCCATGTACAATCTTTTACTTGAATCATTAAGTGTCATTTCAACGCTTTTGTGTTCGTCACTTGTCATTTTAATTATAATTATAAAATATTTTAACTTACCCATCTCTGGTTAATATTCCAAGTACATTGGTCAAATCATCGACTTTCACTTGTCGCAGCTTCTCTTCTTTTGCATAACTCTTTTCTATACTATAATCATCGGCTGCATTTCTCAAGATTTCAACTCTAAGAATTCCATCCCGAGGCCAACCATCTTTAACGTGTTCTAAGCAAGTTGTTGGAGTTCTTGAGAAAACTATATGAATATAAGCTAGTACAAAAAATGCCATTATGGCCTGAAACAAAGTTTCAAAACAATCATTTTTTAACATCTTAACTTCTGATAGTCTTCATCGTTTAGGTAACAAAATTAAACATTAGAAAGATTTTACTATTGTTGATTGTAAGTTGACTTTTGCACATGATGTATCATCTACGCACAGGCCAACAAAATAAGCAAACTTTTTTGATGCGGCAAATGTCAGACTTGTTTCTGATAGGTTTTCTTATGCTGAATACGAATCCGTAAACGAAAATTTCCTATCAGCTCTAGTTTTTGAGAAAAACGGGTTTAAAATGTTCAAAAATCGCGTTTTTTGCTAACTTTGAGTACCTCTAACACTGAAACAAAAGGTCGTAGAACCTTCCACTTGGGCTTCTTTTTTTTTGCTTAGGGACTTTTGGGAAATCTGTATACAGATACCCTGGCTTCCGCATGCCAAGGTTATGTGGGGTTGGTAAAAAAAGGAGAACACTAAACAAAATAAACTGTCGAACTACTACCAGTCCCGACCCACCAAAACCCGTCAACCCTTCTTGGGAGCCCTCCATCCACCCTCGGAACCGTCGTGAAGACTTCTGCCTTCGAGGGTAGCGCTTCCACACTGTCGCAAATTAGCGACTTCGTCCAGTCCTGCGGATATCCTGCGTTTAAAATTTTAAATAATAAAATTTTCAATGTCAAAGCGGAATTAACAGCACACCAAAAAAGAAAAAAAATTATAAACCAATAAATAAAATGAAAATTATCCATTTTTAATTCGCAAATATTAATTTTGTAAAAGTTTGAGCGCATACCTCTGCTGCTTGAGGTTAAGGTGCAGCAATGTAATTTTTATGAACTACAGTCAAGGGATAAATTGAATTAAAGCCCAACAAGAAGGTTCACTCACCTTTGTTTTTATTGACTAGAGTTATTCAAATATTATTACCAAATACACGAAGAGAAAAATCATACTATATTCACATGAGCCACTGTTGCTCTTTTCACATAACACTATTTCATGTAAAAATCGTTTATCACGCAAGATATTTTTTTCAGAAATATTGTGTTTATTACATGAATAAACGTTGTGTGAAATTAGAAAGACATGTATACTAATTCTGATTGATCTGTAAACCATAAACGCTTAAGGAACATGATAAAATTGCCTTCCTTCTCTCTATATAAAATTTGCTTGAAATCCATGCGGTTTTCGGATGGATTTCTTGCAAATAGGACTGGACCCTTCGAGCGACACGTGAACGGGAGTCACGCATGCGCACTATCATTTCTATCTCCGTTGCAAGAAATCCATCTGAAAAGCGCATGGATTTCAAGCAAATTTCGCATTGAGTGTATAAGAGTATTTACGACATGGACTTGAAGCAAATATAGTACATGTTTAAAACGTTTCTTGCATAGAAATCTACGACCCTATAAACTCATGAATTTTGTCTAAAAAAAGCACGTAACAGGTAATGTGAATAATGAGTGACACAATCCATGTAAATATAATATGATTTTTCTCTCCGTGTATTTTCTGTAGTTAAATACTGGTTACCAACAATTTTGAGGTTATTAGTGAATAATATAATTTTTAGGGCTTGTAGTCTAAAGTTCAAACTTTATTTTAAGTTCAAATAAAAGGTTCTATGACCCTTTTTTCTTTGCTAGAGGTACGCGCTTAAACTTTTACAAAATTAATATTTGCGAATCAAAAATGATAACAAATACTTTGAGGTTATGGTGCAACATAAGTCATTTTTGGGGATAATAGTTGAAACATTAAGCTTCAATTTAAGGCCAAATGGAAGGTTCTACGACATTTTGTTTCAGTGTTAGAGGTACTCAAAGTTAGCCAAAAACGAGATTTTTGAACATTTTAAACCCGTTTTTCTCAAAAACTAGAGCTGATAGGAACTTTTGGTTTACCGATTCGTGTTCAGCATGAAACAGGTCTGACATTTGCCGCACCAAAATCAATGTTGGCCTGTGCGACATTGTCAAAATTAGGATTTGGATTGTTTTTGAAATTGAAAAATCCAAAAACCCGCATTAAATTAATATCCAGTGTCGGTAAGGTAGAAAACCATATTTCCAAATTGCAAGGTAAAATTACCAACAGTACACTGTTTTCACAATTAATGTTTTTAATGCAGATGTTAGAATTGGTAAGCGAATAATTGTTTTTTGTTTAAATATAAGTTTCTTTAATAAATAATAATTGATACTTGTTTCTAATTTAATTTTCCATCGCTTCTGCATCCATTTAATTGCTTTTTCTTGATAACACAGAAAATTAAAAGGCATTAAAATAAGCTGCAACGCTTATTATTTTAATCCAATTTTGCTTATTTTAATACCAAAATGGATTAAAATAAGCAAAATTGGATTAAAATAATAAGCGTTGCAGCTTATTTTAATGCCTTTTAATTTTCTGTGAAAAAGACCTACAAAAGTCGTCCGTTTACAAGCTTAGGATCATTTCGGATACCGAAAAGTGCTTGTATCCGAGATTCTCACGGATTCGTTTACCAGCTATCGAGCTTGTAACCGGAATCCGCGGTTTTGGCATCTTTTATTTTTTTGTGGGTAGAAATAAGACGCGCGGTCAAGGAGGTCAAGAATCGCGAAGAGAGTTCCGGTAGTTCAGAGGTAAGAGAGTGGCAAATGAAGAAAACGGAGGAACCAATGCTTATAAGCTTCAAGTAAATACGATGGTTTCCTTTTCTGTCTTGTGAGTCCTTCCGCGGTGGTATCTTAACTAAGTTTTGTCCAGAATGGAATGCGGACTTTAAACTACAGCGAATGCACTAAGAAAGTCAACTCATGCACGTGGTCGGTGCGCGAAAGTAATCTCGCTTCAGGACTAGGGATCAGTTAATACTATTTTGAATATTTAATTTAACTAAATTCTTCTCTTCATTGTTTGCAGTTCTGACAAGTGGCGTATACTTAAATTCATTTAAGAAGAAGAAGGGATCGTACTGCAAACACTATTAACCTTCGCTTGACAAGATGCCCACCCAGGGTGGGCCAGACAAATTGAAATTGCCATATCTTTTAAAGTTTTGCCTTAATTGAATCGCGATTTTAAGTCACTGAACAAAATCTTAAGAACTTTCAAAAAATGTAAAAACAAATTTTTAAAAAAAATTTCTTCTTGATTATTTATAACTTTTATCAATGTATGTACGGAGATAACCGGGATGATTCAGATATTTTTTTAATTCTATTTTACAAAAAGACTTGAAATCATGCAGACTTTTCACTGTGAGTGTTTTATGATGTCAAATAATAGATATAAAAAATATTATATTGCATTTTTCATTTGTTTAAACAATTTATTGTTATTATTTATTAACTTTCTTTGTTCTGCACCTAGAAAGATGCAGTTTTTTTCTAATTTTGCAATTTATCAAGCCGAATATAATAAAAGATAGATTTGATGTAAAATTATTAATTCAACAATTGTTTAAACAATTGTTAAATTAGTAAATTTATGTCAAATCTGTCTGGCTATATTATATTCGGTTTGATAAATTGCAAAATTAGGAAAAAACTGTATCTTTCTAGGTACACTACAAGAAAGTTAATAAATAACAACAATAAATTGTTTAAACAATCGTTTGAATACTAAATTTATATAAAATCTTCATGTTTATTATGTTGAGCTTGTTAAGTTGCAAAATTAGAAAAAAATTGCAACTTTCTTGGAACATTATAAAGAAAGTTAATAAATAGCAACAATTATTTGTTTAAACAATTTATAATAATAGTTGTTGCAAATTGAATTATATATTTTATTTTATTTATAACCTTTGAATTAATAACTACGAAGAAAAGGTAACAAATTTATAAAATTCTTCTACTGTCGTATGTATATTTGAAAAAGTTATAAATTATTAATAATAAATTGTTTAAACAAATAAAAAATCAACCAAACATTAATAAAATATATTATTTGGTAACATATAACAATTTTGGAAAAAAACTGAATGATTCTAAGTTTTTATTGCAATATACAAAGAAGAAAACATTTGGCCCACCCTGGGTGGGATCTTGTCAACCGTGTATATAAAAAGTATCCAGTCCGGCGAAGGTTAATAGTGGATAAATTATAGAATACACAGGTTAATCTAAACATTTGTTTCTCTGCGTGTTCTATTCTCTTTTAGAAATAATCAATTAAATTTAATTAATTAATTAATTGAAAACAATTAAAAATTTAATTCTATCGTTAAAAATTGTGAACTTCAATCTTGAACGAAAATTTAATATTGTTAAATTATTTTATTATTTAATTTTATTAATAGCATATTATATATATATACAGTGAGTTCCCACGTAGCGTGCACAATTTGGAACGTCACTTTTCCGCGTAGCTTGCTGTTCTCAGTGTGCCTGCATCAGTGTTCACTGCCGCACAGTGAGAAAAACTGTTAATTTTTGTGTCAAAATCGTACAACTTTTCACAGAATTATTATAATTTAATAAAAAAAAATTTAAGATGAAAGCTGTGACTCTACAGATTAGAGGAAAAATATGGAGAAAACTTTAAAAAAAAAATTTAAGTCGGACAAATTGGATCCGCCATTTTAAATATCGGACTTCGAATTCTTATTCAGCGACCCCAAAAACCTTTCTTTACCAAGTTCAACGATAATCCGTTAAAGTTTTTTCATCCCTTAATGCAGTAATATACCTAAGGAAACTTTTTTCTTAAACCTTTTTTAGAAACTTAATACAAAAGAAACCCTCAAATATTACCTTTTAAAAAAAACTTACGTAATTTGTGAAAAATAAGTATTTTGTCCTCATTTACCCCTACTGACCCTACTTTATTATAAATTTAATAATTTAAAAATTTTTAATTAATTCTACTGACTCTTCTGAAGGAGAAAGCCATTTTAATAAACAAGGAAATAGACGGTGACACTGATTTTAAAGCAAGTACCGGATGGTTCTTTATGTTTAAAACAGATATCTATAAGTTCGTGTGCCTTTAGCGGAGAGAAATTATCTGTTGTTTTTGAAAGCAGCGTACACTGAAAGAAATTTCTTACTAATTTCGAATGAAAACTACTTACTCATTTAGTAAAACAACTATTGTGACTTTAAAAGCATAAAATTTATACCAATACCACTCTTGGACATACTAAAATAGTTTGGGTTGTTCCCGAGAGATAAAGTGTCGTTGATTCTTCTATATTCATATGAATGTCATATGAATATAGTTCTTTATCCTGCCATGCGAGTTTCGTTCGAGGCACATACTAATATAGCATCAACATCGAACGATTATTGAAAACTAATTGGAATAATTACTCGATGTTGATGCTATATTGGTATGTGCCTTGAACGAATTTCGCACGGCAGAGCTGGGAACTATATTCACTCGTCATTCATGTGATATAGACATGAAATTGCTGCTAATAACGTTAATACCAGTGATCTTTTAACGCATGGGAATTTTATTTCTACCACGTGCTCTCTGAAGTGTTCTTTGAAGTTTGTTCTAAAACTGGTCCTGAGGGCTCATTTTTCATGTTTTATGTTGTTCCGTGCGGTTTAACACTCCCGCCTTTTTACATGAATTTTCTGACTTTATCTAAGAGTGACTATATACCGCAATGAGAAGAGAAACATTGTCATGAGAAAGTAAGAAACTTTTTTTCTCATCGATGAGTGAGTAAAATCAAGGTTGCCAACCTAAAAGACGTGTAGGTATTAAATAGTTTCTTAAGAAAAAATTCAATACCTACCTTTCCAACATGTCTTCTAGGTTGGCAACCTTGATTTCACTTATCGATTGGCTTCAGCAGTCTTACTCTAATCTTTCATTATTTTATTTTTACTGTTTCTATTTTGATTGAACGTTGGAAATTGTTACTGAAATCAATTATACATATCAATGTACGGCCTATGCGATTTGAATTCGATTTTCACATGTATTCTTCTCATGGGGGTTTACGTATTATGATTTATGAACAGACTCAACCCATGGCAAAATCATTTTCCTTGTACTCGACTAGTTCGTTTCCAAGTGAACATCGTAATTGATTCATCTCAAATTTCTTATATGCTGGACTTACCTTTATGGTTATCTAACCTGAATTACCAACAGGGTTTCATATAGTTTATTTTTCAACTTTTTCGTCTTCTAAGTTTATTGTTCTGACACTCGGCTAGGTCTAAAGTCATTTAAGAAGAAGAAGAAAACGGACATACGAAAATCGGTAGTATAGTATTGGTACTTTTAAAGTGAGAAATTTCTATCCGTGTAGTATTTGTCGACACTCTAATCTCAGAAATAAGAAATAAAAACCTCAATCTTTATGAAATATTTAATGCCTCGAAAATTTTCGAAGAAAACACGCTACGCGGGAACTTACTGTCGATTAAATTGAAAAAAATAACGTAAATATTTACCTTCATTAAAATTAAAAATTCAATGAAACGTCTCACAGGTCTTGGAAAGGTTCTTGCATATGTTAAGGAAGCTTTGATAAATAGTGCATGAAACAGTCTGTCACGCATACGAAAGAGTGGATTTTGATTGTTATTTGTTCTCGTAACATTCGCATTATTATTATTGTTGTTGTTATTGTTATTAATATTATTATTAAATGATGAACCAACTGCATTTGTTAAATTATGGTTGTCTGCAGTTACATCATTTTGGTTGTTTGGCAACGGTACAGCGGCTACATCTATTCGTGACATTTTTAATGTCCTAAATGGAGATTTCTCTTCAGAACAATATTTTATTTTTAATATTTTTAATTCGACATCAGGAACTGATATAATCTAAAAAAGAGATAATAATACTTTAGTATTTATCAAGACAATAATTGTTGATTAAAATGTTTATGCCTCAATGCAAAAATTTTGTCCAAATTTCAATCCAATTAAAGAGACATTTATTATTGAAGTTTGATCACTGGAGAAATTTTGCCTCACATTTGATTACCAACTAGTAGTAAATTCTATTATTGATTTTCTATAAAACATTCTAAGCTTTTAATTAATAAAAGAAAATTCATTTACCTGTAATTAGTAAAACTGTGATTTTTGCTCCCATTTCGGTTGTAACATTCGTGCATTGTTAAGTTTCTAATTAACTACAGTCATCGTTACTGAAAAAATATAAGTCACTTGAGTCTTCTAAATATATAAAATATTGCTAAATATTTGTTGAACGTAAAAAAAATTTGGTAAAACGAACAATCAAATTTGAGGTTTTTATGGAAACTGTTTTATCCATATTTTTTTTGTGTAAATTTTTACATTTCTATTTTAATTCAAAACATTTTTAATTGTAAACATTTTAACATATTCGAAATTTAGAGTTTAAATATTAATTAAAATTTATAAAATTGAATAAATTTATTTTATTCTATTGTTTGGAAGACTTAATAGATTTTTTTAAAAACGAATTTGTATTTGTTCTAAATTACCTAAAAAGTTTTGTTTAAACTATCGGTACTTTCTTTTTTTCTCATAAAAATAAATAATCCTAGTTCAAGCCATAGCCGAAGTTATACTGGACATAATTTCTTTTTTGTAAGAAGTTGTTTTCTCCGTTGCTTATTTACACTTCGTCATCAGAATAATATTAATTGTAAATCCAAATTGTCAGATTCAAATGTTACAGTCATAATATTAAAAAACAGAAAATAATGATAGATAATTCTTGATATAGAATTATTTTTTGGTTTGCTGATTGAGAATCAATGTCAAAATTTAAAATAAAAAATTGATTAAGATTAAGATACGTTTTTTGTTGATTAAAAGATTTTGAATTATTATTTTCAATGAACAAATAAATAAATATTTAAATAAAATTTTTATCATTTCAAAAATATAATTAACAAACAATTTTAAAGTTTAAAATATGAATTTTAAATTTTATTTTTATTTTCCAAAAATAAATTTGCATAATTGAAATCAATTTTTTATTTTGAATTTTAATAAATTTAAAAAACTTAATTTATCAAGTTTACATTATAATCAATTTAGAAAATTGTGCTTTTATAAAAATTGTAACTCGTAATATTTTTTTGAACATATTTATATTATTTTCTAAAATTAAAAACATAATATTTTTATTAACAATCTACCATAATATATTTAATTATATGCAAAAATAATTTCACAAACTAAAAAATTATGAATTGAATACAAAATTTAAATTATACTTATTACTTTATCTTCAAATTAAAAGCAAAACATTCTTTAAAAAATTTTCACCTTTTTACATTTTCAACTAATATTAAAGAATAGTTTTAAATTAATTCACACTATTAATTTATTCACAATACAAATCAATCGTTTAAAATTGTAAATTCATCAAATATTCAATCATTTAGCAATTTAAATTTTTAAATTCAATTATTTAAAAAATTCAATTATATTAAATTATTTCTATTATAACTCTATTTTCTATTATTCAATTTCATTAAAATATTGATTAAACATTAATTATCTATTGTAAAATTAATTTATTTTCGATACAAGTTAATTATTTTTGATTAAATTATATTTAAATTCAATTATTTTTATATTCTTTTAATTTGTGAATTTACAAATTAATTTAATTTAAATAATAATTCAAACATAAATGGATAAATTTTGGAAAATATGTATTATGTTTTAAATTTAAAAAAATAATATAAATTTTCTGATGTTCAATTTATAATTGTTATTTATGTTGAAAATAAAATTAGTTTATTATTCATTTACATCTAAATAAAGAGAATAGTTCATCTCTTTAATTAAAGTCAAAAAAAAAATTTAATTTTTTAGTTTAAAAGTTAGAATACTTGAGGAAGTTATTATATTGTATTTTTTAAACAGTAAAATACATTAATACTTCTCCTAAAATTTAAATAAGTGCAAACTAATTTATTAATGCAAGTTAACACAAATCAATTGTAATTATTTTAATTTTGGGAAACAACAGATTATTTATTTAAAAAAAAATAAATAAATAAAATATACACTACCGGCAGAAATTGTCGGTACACCTGACGTGCAAGGAGTGAAAATTTGATGCTGACTTTAAAGCAAGATATTTAAAAGTAGAAAAAAATTAGAGACTTGTAACTTAGATGGTTGGAAAGATGATAAAATTCTGCGTTTGAATGTATATAAAGAAATTTTTTTTTTCTTTTTTAGCATTTATAACACTGAAAAAATTTCAAGCAAAAATTATGCAATTTTCCTACTTTCGTACTAATGTTTTTGACTTCTGGCATAATCTATAATAATGTATGGAAAAATTTGACAATTTTACAACATAATCTTTAAGATCTTAGCTTTAATTTGCATTTTTAAAACTTAAAAAATGTTTTGTGATTCCTGAAATGCAAAAAAAAAAAAAATTAAATACCATACCCCCTCCCCTTAATTGTCAATGTAATTAAAATTTTGTATAAATTCTTTTCTTTATGCACAAAGTTTTTTCAAAAACTGCTTTATTTTATTGTTAATCTAAAATTTATTATTTTTGATTAATAAATGGGTACGTTCTTGCCTCTTATTTAAAATAGGTGCGTTCATGCATCTACTATTAGAATTTTTACTTTGTCTCTTTGTTTTCAAAGTAGGAACGTTATTGCGTTAAACTGACAAAATAAACTTCTTTGAATATTCTATTATTGCATAAGAAATCTATAATGTAAACAACTTAAGAAATTACAATCCGTTTATATGAATTAAATAAATCAATAAATTATTTGTGGTTATGTTTATACTTTTTTTGTTTTTACATTAGCGCACTGGTGACACCAAAGGAATTGATTCAGTGTCGGCCATCCGTCAGGATAGCCTGAAAATTATAAAATTAATTATTTCAAATTAAAAAACATATGCATATATTATGTGTATGTATATATACACACATATACATTCATACATACACATCTATATATATATACATACATATAATTCCTATCACGTAAGTTATTCTTGTACAAAAACAAATGAATTCTTAAATCTAATATTTAAACGAAAAAAATGAAAGATTACTACAAACCGAAAATAATTAAAGAGCATAATCGTTGTTCATTACATAATTAAAAAGTACAGCTGTCATTAAATATGTATGACTAAACTTTTAAAAACACTCACTCATATAATGAGACTGCAAAACCACAATTTTTTGCTTCAAAACAATAATCACTTTGATGTAACAAACAAATATACTGGAAGAAGAATAAATTTATAAATCATAATGTCCGTCATTTTCTAGAGATTAAAATTCAGCAAACATGTCAAATAACAAAAATATAAAGTTTCGACAGTTTACACTTCAACTTAGTATACATATATGTAAATCCATGGAACTGGAAGATTAGAGATAGGAACATGATTATTGAACTGTATATAAATATCTGAAAGCATCGTAAAAGCGCGTTGTAGTGCCATTGTTGATCACCAGGTGAGAAATATACGGAAGCGCCTACCCGCCACCTAGAGGCACTGAGGCATAAGCTAGTGCTAAAGCAGTTTTAGCGAGGCGCATACACGCATATAGGCATAGAGATAATATAAATAGAGTAGACAAGGTATAGGCGGCTGCGTAAGAGGGAAGTGTCCTGACATAAACAGAATGGGTTGGAAAGAGAAGAAAGATTTAACACCAGTATCTGTCCTTCAATAAGCACCAGCGCAAGAGAGACACCTACTGGTGCTAAAATCGCGTTCTCTTTCTATCAAACGGACGCCTCTATACAGACCATCTCCACTCTATTTATATTATCTCTATGCATATAGGCCTACTTGCCTTTGTATTTTGATTCGCGGCTTTGATTCGTTTATTTGAAAAATGTCAAAATGATATGAAATGTTTTACTCTTTTATAACAAAAAATTAAAATTTTTATTTATCAACTTTATCCCATTTATAATTCCGTGATATTTGTTCACAACATTTTGTGCAAATTTATTTAATTTCCAGTGCGATAAGGTAAGTTACATTATATCATGGAGTAGTATAAAGGCGGTTCCAGAATAGGTACAAAAGCCAAGTACAAGTGCAAGTCCAAATGCAAATCCCATAAGTGCGAAAGAGATAGGTAGCCTATCTATCTCTCTTGCACTCATAGGATTTGCATTTGGACTTGTACTTGCACTTGACTTTTGCACCTATTCTGGAACCACTTTAAGGAGACCGAACGATGTATATTGAAAGAGGACCAAATTTTGGTACCCGCTTAGTGTCATGAAAATACGGAATGAAACACAAGCGCTCTCGTGGGAAGTATGTAAATAGTGGGAAAAATTGTAAGTACGTTGAACATAACCCAAAAATACATTGCTCCTTATTTTTAAAACTTTTACAATGGCTGACTGTCCAGCTGAGTTTGACACAATCAGTGGCGCTAGTGTTCCATTCCGTTTTTTTGAGGTTAGCAGGTACCGAAAAGTGGTCCATACTTTTAACGCAGATTTAACATGGTCGTTCGGTCTCCTTATACTACTCCATGCATTATATATATAAATGCATAATTTTAAGGTTATGGTTGTGGTATTGTATCACGTGGGGATTTATCACGAAGTAGTATAAGGAGACCCCACTGTCCGGGAAAGCTGTAGCCGTTTTCCCCGTTTCTCTTACAATTAACGGAGGTGTCGAACCCCAACGGGAAAATTTGATACCTCCGAAATTTCGTCTGCTAAAAGTGACATGAGCGATGTAAACATGGAGAATCTCCATGTATATAAACATGATATAATTATTTATATTGTGTAAAAACACAGTAACGAAGTAAAATTAGTAACTGCAAGTGAATATAAATTATTAAACTTTATATTTAAAATTAAACTGAGTATTCACTACCGAAAGAGTGGTACTGGAATGGTACTGAATTGGACTTGGCTTGAGTTCCACTTCAGTACCACTACCTGATAACCTATAAGAAGACATTTTTAAAGTACTTTAACAATAGTTTTAAAGGTATGTTAGAACAGCAAAACGTCTCTCACGATATCCGTGTAAAACAGCAAAAAAAAACATAATAGTTTGTAGAAAATTTCAGTTAAGTTTGGAAATTATATTGCAATCCCTCCTTGAACAATAGACTCCAAGGTCCTTTGTTGAAGGATTACAATTTTAACCCGAGTTTTATTGCTTAAAAAATTTGTAATTTTCATAACTCAACTTTAAAAAATATATATTAAGATTCGTTAATATTTCCAGATTATGAATATCTAAAATTTATCATAAAATAATTACATTTAAAAAAGTTATAATTTATCTCGTATACCTTAAGTTTGATAAAAAAATGGACATCATTTTTGAATTTAGCTGCCAAAGGAAATATCATATGCATAATAATGTATGAAAATAATATAAATCCATGAAAAACAAATATAATATTGAAATAAATATAAAGTTTTAGTTTAAGGTATTAGTCGCGCGCCGGCTCTAACCAAAAGTTTGTCTCGAGTCTGACTCAGTCTGTGCTTAGCAAGAGGTATAGTTCTGAGTCAAACTTTTTGAAGGGTACAGGTAAGTTTCACTCAGAGCGCCGCGTTCTCGCACGTGTAGAACTAAAGTTTTGATCGCGGCAACGTCGCAATCTGAATGTACCAGTGTATTATTAAAAAAAATTCAAGTATGCTTCTTTGAAAATTAATTTTTAATTATTTATAATTATAAATAGTTCGACAAAATTTTGCCACAAGATTAAACGATGGTGATTCTTATAGGATTTTTGACGTAGATTACGAATCTGTAAATGAAATTGTCCCATCACGTCTCAATTTTGAGAAAAACGGGCTCAAAGTGTCAAAAAATCGCATTTTTGGCACTTTTTGAAGCACTATAAAAAAAGAACGCGACGTGATAAACGGCTCAAATATGGCTTAAATAAGAGCTAGTACCCTCAACTTTAACCTCCAAAAGCAAAAAACCATGTACCAAGAACTCAAAATTGTGGGCAACATTTTTTTACCGCGTGCGCGTCCAACAGATATTGTTCCCACGATAAAATGAAATAAATTGCTGAAAACGTCGTCAAAGACACAAGATCGATTTAAATTAACTTCAAACTGGTTACTCGGGGGTTTTCGGGGTCGCTGATTACGAATCTGATGTTAGTTTTTAAAAATCCAATATGGCGGATCCAATATGGCGGACGATTTTTGGAATAACTTAACATATTAGTCTGAAAATCGTTACTTGGGGGTTTTCGGGGTCGCTGATTACGAATCTGATGTTAGTTTTTAAAAATCCAATATGGCGGATCCAATATGGCGGACGATTTTTGGATTAACTTAACATATTAGTCTGAAAATCGTTACTTGGGGGTTTTCGGGGTCGCTGAATAGGAATCCGATGTTAGTTTTTCAGAATCCAATATGGCGGAACTAACATGGCTTGACTATTAAATTACTACAAATTTTTTTGAAAGGAGTTATTTAATGAATAATTTAATTTTTTCTTTTTTACGCAGTTACATGAACCTTCTTTTTACTAATCCAATATAAAAAAAACTTTATTGAGATAAAAATGTGACGTTTCGTTTATTTTGCACCATTAAGGATTTTAATTTTATTTCTTTTACATTTTCAAGGAGTTCAATTGATGAGCTCGCTGTCAGTTTGTTTCTAATTTTTTGTGGACGAAAAAAGTAGACGTTAAAAATGAAGCTTGATGTTTTCTGTTGTTTTCATTTTCACGCCGTATTAATTAAATCTGTTTGACAATATAACAAAAATTAATTAAATTTATTTTAAACCTAGTAACCATTTTTTATTAAAAAAAACTGTTTCCTCTTATAAATGACGTGGAGGCATGAAAATAATTACTAAAATTACTAAAGTCTGCGAAAATCAAGAACTATTTAAAAATTCGCTCGCCAAATTCGATTCGCTATCTTGTATTTAAAAATTTTTAAGTCAAATTCATAATTTGCAATCTCAAAACTTTTTATATACTCAATTTAATAAAAAACCATAAAATCTTTAAGCATCAGATTCGTAATCAACAACCCCGAAAACCCCCGCGTAACGATTTTCAGACTAATATGTTAAGTTATTCCAAAAATCTTCCGCCATGTTGGATCCGCCATATTGGATTTTTAAAAACTAACATCAGATTCGTAATCAGCGACCCCGAAAACCCCCGAGTAACCAATTTGAAGTTAATTTAAATCGATCTTGTGTCTTTGACGACGTTTTCAGCAATTTATTTCATTTTATCGTGGGAACAATATCTGCTGGACGCGCACGCGGTAAAAAAATGTTGCCCACAATTTTGAGTTATTGGTACATGGTTTTTTGCTTCTGGATGAGGTTAAAGTTGAGGGTACTAGTTCTTATTTAAGCCATATTTGAGCCGTTTATCACGTCGCGTTCTTTTTTTATAGTGCTTCAAAAAGTGCCAAAAATGCGATTTTTTGACACTTTGAGCCCGTTTTTCTCAAAATTGAGACGTGATGGGACAATTTCATTTACAGATTCGTAATCTACGTCAAAAATCCTATAAGAATCACCATCGTTTACTCTTGTGGCAAAAAAAAACCTAAATTTTGTCGACCATTAATATTTACATCAATAATGTATTATAATTTGGTTTATAAAGTAAAAAATAAATATTTCATCAAAAAATGTTTTTATTTCTTAACTGTTGAAATATAACCAACCAATTTAACGTTTCTCATTCTTATTTTTCTTAAAATATATGATTTAATTTAAAAAATTGAGAATTATTTAATACTAATCTATGTTGTGAAATTTTAAATATATTATTTTTTTATTCTACTCTATGAGATATTCCTACTTTCTAACTGTGTACTTTGCATGATTTTGAATTTTGTATACATTCGCGCGCTACAGCGTTGCCAAGTGTACTGCTTTCCAGCAGTGGAACTTCATATAATTTAAAATTTTGTTAACTTTCTCCTAATATATTTATAGTTTGGTACGGTCAAAAAATTTCAGTTTTTTTGTATGCATTCGTTTCTAATGAAAGTATTATGTGGTAGTTTTATTTTAAAATCTGACGACTGGTTTTTATTTAAATAATTATAAAGCAAATTCCTTACATGCATTAGGTGCTCCGTCCATGTAAAAAGTATCAACTTTGAAATGATATTTTAAAGCTTAGGAACTTTCAAAATCGATGGGAATGGTCTTATTTTGTAGATAATTATGTCAGAAACACTCATGCAAAATTTTAAAAATATCTGACGAAAATGATTTTACGCGACTAATACCTTAAACATATTGAAAAAGCTGGTCGCTTTTCACTTTTATGAGGGTTTTAACGGTAACTCGACCCTTTTCGCAGGTAAATTTCCCAGTTCCATTTCAGTACCAAAATGCACCAAA